TTCCCCTAACTATCAAAGTACCCAACACTTTTGCCCTTCCACTCTTCTTCGTCCCACCCTCCCAGCTCTGCAGTTGAGCCACTTGCGATACCAGATGTTTGGCTCTCATTACATTACTTTGAAGGACCATCACCCTCACCAGTCTCCAAAACGGAAAGCCAATTAATGAATGAGAGAGACTCCGGGAATTCTGCATTGTCTCTCTAGACTGCCTAGTGGTCACCCATTCCCTCTATGCCTACAGGATTTTAATCTGTGGTGTGATTGCTTTGTTAAATGTGATATCATTGTATTTTTCAACTTTGAAGATGCAGCATTGTGACGCTCAAATTCTAAAACTTGAAGCTCATGCTTTTGCAGCTAGAAACATCATCTAGACCATAGAAAGCATCCACATGGCATAGAATTAGCATTTCATGCAGCAAAGCTATCCTGCTGTGCCTTAAAGCTACTTTCAGACTATTTAATTTAAATTGGAGTTGAGAAAGCAGTAAGTACAATTCCTCACCAACTGGCCCTAATGAATATAGCTCTGTCTTTGATTGTCTGTCTTAAATTCTTTTCTCATTTGCTACTCCAGATGATACTGTCTACTGAGTTAGGGTCCTCATCTCATTCACTCAGTCCTGCAAAATGGTCAACTGGATGTACCATGAGAATAGAAATGGGGAATAGATTCCTAGATGAGCTGGAGTTTGCGTGGTGTGGAGCTTTGCATGTGACAAAGACACTGCAGGTCAAAGAAGCCCCTTTGTGTGCTGACACACTGAGCTGAATTCAATGCAGTTGTCAAGGAAGTGTGGCAGCTGCGTCCATTGGGGATGAACAGCACCAGTCTCCTGGCAACAGCCAACTCCCCCACCCTGTCCTACCCTGATTACGTGGAGGACATGGGGGAAGGAGAGGCTGATCCAGGATTCCTGATTACCAGTTCTTGAATAAGAACATAAGAACTGGGAGCAGGAGTAGGCCATCCGGCCCCTCGAGCCTGCCCCGCCATTTAATAAGATCATGGCTGATCTTTTTGAGACTCAGCTCCATTTACGCGCCCACTCACCATAACCCTTAATTCCTTTACTGTTCAAAAATTTATCTAGCCTTGCCTTAAAAACATTCAGCGAGGTAGCTTCAACCACTTCACTGGGCAGGAAATTCCACAGATTCACAACCCTTTGGGTGAAGAAGTTCCTCCTGACCTCAGTCCTACATCTGCTTCCCTTTATCTTGAGGCGATGCCCTCTACTCCTAGTTTCACCTGCTAGTGGAAACAACCTCCCTGCCTCCACCTTATCTATTCCCTTCATAATCTTATATGTTTCTATAAGATCTCCCCTCATTCTTCTGAATTCCAATGAGTGTAATCCCAGTCTACTCAGTCTCTCCTCATAATCCAACCCTCTCAACTCTGGAATCAACCGAGTGAATCTCCTCTGCACCCCCTCCAGAGCTAGTATATCTCTTCTCAAGTAAGGAGACCAAAACTGCACGCAGTGCTCCAGGTGTGGCCTCACCAGGACCCTATACAGCTGCAGCATAGCCTCCCCGTTTTTAAACTCCATCCCTCTAACAATGGCAGACAAAATTCCATTTGCCTTTTTAATCACCTGCTGCACATGCAATCCTACTTTTAGCGATTCATGCACAAGGACACCCAAGTCTCTCTGCACAGCAGCATGCTGCAATTTTTTTACCATTTAAAACATAGTCCATTTTGCTGTTATTCCTACCAAAATGGATGACCTCACACTTATCAACATTGTACTCCATCTGCCAGACCTTTGCCCACTCACTTAGACTATCTATATCCCTCTGCAGACTTTCAGTGTCTTCTGCACACTTTGCTCTACCACTCATCTTCGTGTCATCTGCAAATTTTGACATACCACACTTTTGACATACCACAGTCCCCAACTCCAAATCATCTATGTAAATTGTAAACAATTGCGGTCCCAACACGATCCCTGAGGCACACCACTAGCCACTGACTGCCAACCAGAAAAACACCCATTTACCCCTACTCTTTTCTTTCTACTGGTCAACCAATCCTCTATCCATGCCAATACATTACCTGTAATACCGTGCAACTTTATCTTATGTAGCAGCCTTTGGTGTGGCACCTTGTCAAATGCCTTCTGGAAATCCAGATACACCACATCCACAGGTTCCCCATTGTCCACCATGCAAGTAATGTCCTCAAAGAATTCCACCAAATCAGTTAAACATGATCTACCCTTCATGAACTCATGTTGGGTGTTCCCAATGGGACAATTTATATCCAGATGTCTCACTATTTCTTCCTTACTGATAGATTCAAGCATTTTCCCCACTACTGAAGTTAAGCTAACTGGCCTATAGTTACCTGCTTTTTGTCTACTTCCTTTTTTAAACAGTGGCATCACATTGGCTGTTTTCCAATCTGCGGGAACCACCCCAGAGTCCAGTGAATTTTGGTAAATAATTACTAGTGCAATTGCTATTTCCCCCATCACCTCTTTTAGTACCCTGGGATGCATTTCATCAGGGCCAGGAGACTTGTCTACCTTTAGCTCCATTAGCTTGCCCAGCACTGCCTCCTTAGTGATGGTGATAGTTTCTAGGTCCTCACCTGCTATAACCCTCTTCCCATTAGTTTTCGGCATGTTATTTGTGTCTTCCACAGTGAAGACCGACACGAAATAACTGTTTAATGTCTCGGCTATTTCCTCATTCCCAGTTATTAAATTGGCCTTCTCATCCCCTAAAGGACCAATGTTTACCTTCGCCACTCTTTTACGATTTACATATTTATAGAAACTTTTGCTGCCTGTTTTTATATTCTGAGCTAGTTTACTCTCATAATCTATCTTACTTTTCTTTATAACTTTTTTTGTGGCTTTCTGTTGGCCTTTAAAGATTTCCCAGTCTACTAGTTTCCCACTACTCTTTGCTTTTTTGTATGTGTTTTTTTTCAATCTGATACTTTCCTTTATTTCCTTAGACATCCATGGCTGGCTTTCTCTTTTCCTACAGTTCTTCCTTATTACTGGAATATACTTCTGCTGAGCACTGTGAAAAATTGTTTTGAAAGTCCTCCACTGTTCCTCAATTGACCCACCATAAAGTTTTTGCTCCCATTCTACCTTAGCTAACTCCTCCCTCATTCCTTCATAGTCTCCTTTGTTTAAGCACAGGACATAGGTACTGGATTTAACCTTCTCACGCACCATCTGTATTTTAAATTCGACCATACTATGATCGCTCCTTCCGAGAGGATCCCTGACTGTGAGATCATTAATTATTCCTGGCTCGTTACACAGGACTAGATCTAGGATAGCTTGCTCCCTCATAGGTTCCATTACATATTGTTCAAGGAAATTATCGCGGATGCATTCTATGAACCCCTCCTCAAGGCTGCCATGACTGACCTGGTTTGACCAATCGATATGTAGATTATAATTGCTGTACCATTTTTACAAGCATTAGCTATTTCTATGTTTATTGCCTGCCCCACCACGATGTCATTATTTGGTGACCTATAGACCACACCTATCAGTGACTTCTTCTCCCTGCTATTCCTAATTTCCACCCAAATGGATTCAACATTTTGTTCAGTAGAACCTATATCATCTCTCACTACTGCCCTGATATCATCCTTAAAAATCAGAGCAACACCACCTCCCTTATCTTCCTGTCTGTGCTTCCGAACAGTTTGATACCCCTGGATATTTAACTCCCAGTCATGACCTTTCAGTAACCATGTCTCTGTAATGGCCACTAAATCGTACCCATTTGCCATGATTTGCACCGTCAACTCATCCACCTTGTTTCGAATGCTCCGAGCATTCAGATAAAGTGCCCTTACGCCAGTTTTTGCACCTTCTTTTTGGTCCTATTACCTCCATTACTAACAGTTCTTGAGTTCTCCTTCCCTTTAACTTTTTTCCTAATTTTCAATGGAGTTGAAGCTTCCTCGTCACCTGCTAACCTGCTGCTTTGCCTTACATTAATTGTTATTCTCCTTCTACGCTCACTTCTCCCTTTCCCCCTACTTATATCAGTTAAGTTCTTTAACTAACAAATTGATGCCCATTGCCCCTGAGTGCACTGCAAATTTGTGGTGGCTCAATAATTAAAAATGAGGAAAACAGTTTTCTCACACCATTGGAGGACCGCCCAGAGGAGATGGGTGTTGTAGAATGGGAGGAACTGTTCAAATTGGTGGAAGAGTCCAGAAACAGAGGGCACTGATTTCAAGTTAGTGGCAAAAGATCCAAAAGCAATATAAGATCAAATCTTCTTCGTGTAATGAGTGGTTAGCATAAGATTGATATTGTCTGAGAGTGCAGTGGAAACAGATTCCATCATGGCTTTCAAAGAGGATTTTGATAATTATCTGAACATAGAAAAAAAAATTGTGGGGCTATTGGAAAAAGGTGGTAGAATGGGAATGGCTTAGTTGCTGTTTTAGGGAACCAGCATAAACATGACAAGCCAAGTGGCTTCCTTCAGTGTGGTAGTCATTCCTTGAGGTATATATAGTTTGTATTTTTTAAAAATCTCTTAACATTTCTGTATTATTTTAGCATTTCCTTAATTTCAACTTCTATCCTTTAGTGCGATTTGAGCATCACGAGCACAGCCCCCATTTTTTGTTCAACCCTGATGCCCCTGAGATGATGTTGATTCCAATCTTTATTTTGCTGTCTATAAAATCATATTATTGTGTGAAGAAATGTCTGAGATTCTATACTTCCTGATTCATTGTCTTTGAGAAATCTTCAATGCGTCTAAGTGTTATATTGATGATATCACTGTTGGTAGACATCTGGAACTTTGGCTTGGCAACAGATTCGTATCAGTAAAGGGAGTTCATGCTGCAGCCATTGCTAGAACTTTTCAGGCAGCTTCCTTCGAGATCAGTGGAAAATGCTTTTGTTTTACCACTGAACATACTTTACAGACTTACATAGTTGCCTCAATGCTACTCAGTGTAGTGTAATGAAATCTCATTCTGTCAACAGGTTAAAGAATGGGCAACCTATTGCTGAAAGATCTACTCGCTATAAGATCACTGGCTATGTACTGACTATAAGAGATATTTCAGAAGAAGACACTGGCAGTTATAGTATTATACTGGAGCTCAAACAATGGAACCTTTACAAGAACATCACATTCTCTCTTAATGTAAATGGTGAGTAAATGAAGGCCGTAAATTTCTGCATTCTCATTCTGAACAAAGACCTCCAGAATCCATCTCATTAAAAATTCTACACTTTGGATAAAATTGATACAGAGTGTTATTTCATTGGTTTCAGAAATGAAAATAGTTAAAGCATCAGTTTAAACCAGATATTTTTCAATGTGTTGCATTGATTTGGCTTCACAGCAATCTCAAAATATCTGAAGTTGATGCAAAATTCTGCTTAATCTCAAAACTTAAGCTGTACACGTATATTAATTGAAAAAAAAATCTGCCCCTTACTTCCTTTGGATAAGTTGCAAATTTACTGGCAGTGCTGGAGGCTGGTACATTGTATCATATACCTTTATAGAGCTGTCAGTTTTTGTGTTATGCTCTCTTTCACATTTAAGACACTATAACTATAAACTTCCTGCCCTTGCAGTAGATGGTGTCACTAAAGTACCAGCATAATACCTGTAAACAAATTGCTACGAATATTCTAGGTTCACTTGAGCTAATTTAGAGGTGAAGAGGAATGTCTTCCTGCAAGGGAGTCTGTTCAATACGCCATCTAAAAATTGACATAGACACAAAATTGATGGACTCCTTATGAGGGCTGCCAATTTCCTGATCCAACATTCCTCCAATTATTGTGGCTAGAGGATCAGATGTGCTCATATGCAAGAAATCACTGTTAACTATATAGGAAAGAATAATTCCAAACAGTCCAATCTCTGAGATTGGGTTCAGGCAATTATAGAAATAAGGTAAAGCCAACATTGGATGGAATACATAACAAAAGCAAGCATTATAAATTCACAGGGAAAGCAAATGTGAGGTTCGTCTAATGGGCGATCTGTGCATGCGAGGAGATGGCTATTGGAATTTCACTGTTTTTACCAGGTGAAGATTTTGCAGGTGATACAAACATGAAGAAAAACCTTTTAGTCACCTCAATAATTACCTCAATAAAATAGAAAGTTAAATTAACCCAGGTATTTGAATTTAAAAAAAAAAACTTCCTTGGCCTTTGTGAAGGTGGTGGTTAGCCCCCCACTGGAACCCTGAACTTCCACTGCTAGGCTAGGAGAGCAGACTGTGGACATCTCCTGACCCAGAAGTGGGGATATTCCTTTCAATTTAGGCCAGGCAAGCTCAGGGATAGTGCAGAGGATTCCAAGGTTGAAACTGGATTGTGCAGAAGTCCTGCCTTGGGGCTCCAGCACGGTGTCCAAAATATGTGTCCAAACAAAGCTACTGAGAAATTTATGCAGGTAATTTCTGTTTTTCTCATATGGCATACTGGTAGGCTTTTGCTAGTTGTATAGATAGAACCATCGTACTAATTAGTGCTGAAATGGGCAGAGATGTTGAGATTCAGTATCCAAGCATGATAACCATTGAACTCTAGATGTATACACACCCATTCTTTTGTGCTAGATGCCAGTGCTATCTTCCGGATTCTGTCTATCCAAGTGTCACTGCTGGATGAAGGACATTTTCTTTCCGCATCCTGGAAGAACCCATATAAGGAACATACAATGTGCCAGCCACCATCAGGATCAATACACCCAATTCCAATACCAGGTTAATCACCATCTGGTCAATTAAAGCAATTTTGCAAATGGCTTTGGAATTGATCATTTGATGGACCCCATTTCCTGGGTCCTTGTTAAGGAGGCAGTGATTTTTATAAAGTATGATTCCATGGTGCCATAACTCCTTGAATATCGCACCAAAATGGGACCATAGTAATCTTTATTTAATTCCTACTCTCACATTTTCTAGAGAGAATCTAAGTTGCGCGGTGATGCTGCAGTTGTTTCACTGTTAATTAGTAATTATATGAATTAATTATACTTATTTCATTATAGTTTAGTATGAAAAATTTTGTAAGCATCTACTTCTGGCAATACTTCTCATTTAATGAGACAACACACCAGAGAAGTAGGTGTGCTGACATCCATGCTCAATCTGTAGAACTCCTGATTTTCCAGTGACTAAATCTAGTTGCTGGAAAATTCAGGATCTTCTGAAACAGGGGCATGATTCTCCAGTCTACACTTGTATTGTACGTGTTCTGAGTGTGGAGTGGAATTTCACAACACCTGTCATAATCATAAATAAACAACAAATACAAGGGGTTTTAAAAAAGAAAGTTAAAGTTAAGAATGGTATTTTGTAAAAATTGGTGGGACATGTGGTTAGTTGCTTTAAGTGATCCGCAGCATATAGAATTGTTTTTTTTTAAGAAATTCAGATTTAGCATGTCAATACTAGCATCTTTGAAACTTACTGCATATAAAAGACAAATCAGTGTAGACCAGCTGATAACATTGCTTCATACAGTGAAATCAGCATCAGCAACCATCTATGAGCAATGACTGCCTGTCAATAAAATGATTACAAAACTTTGGGAGCAGTAAAATGTCCATTTACTTTCATTGTCAAAAACCATTTGTAGTGATGGCACGAGATGTAATTGTCACCATGTATTTGAAGCTTCATCACTGGTTTTCAAACCAGTGAACACCATGGGAATCCAACTTGGCAGATAGTGCTGACTATATATCCTTTCAAAAACGTGCATTCAAGTTCCCAATGATACTAGTCTTTTGATGTGGATTATAGAATAAAAGTAACTGAAGGGCATGGAAAAAAATGGATCAGAGAAGAAGTGTGACATAATACCCATTTGTTGACAAAGGGACAGGCGATGGTTGAGTATATTGTATCAGAGGGGCAGTTTCTTAACTGTATGAGAAGACAAGCTATGAACATAGAGTTGCTTAGGAAAGCATGGATGGTTGCTGTTGACAGGTTTCACTGTATGAGGTTAATACTCTAGCCAGGCAAAATTCAAAATAGTAACAGAAACACATATAAGCAGAATTCTTAGAGAGATCAGGATCACAAAGTTCTTAAATCTTTTCAGATATTAGCAAACTTCTTGGTAAATACCAGTTTACCACAGTCATGTATTAAAAACAATATTTTGAATTTAAATCTTAGTATAATATTGCATGTTTTAACTGTAATGTTATATACTGCCCTACAAAATGTATTTGGACAATCCCTTTATAGTTAGCAGCCAGTGACATAATGCCATGTTAGGGAATGTTCTAGAGCAACTGTGGACGCTAAAAAAAAACACATTCTTGCATCCTAGGTGCCTCAGCTTTACCCAGAATGGAAAAACTGAAGCAACTCTCAGAGTTTCAAAAAGCTATCATTATTGACTATCACTTGTGTAAAAAGTCTGCCCACGAAATATCCAGAAGGACTGGGATACCAAAGTCGTCTGTGAACTTCATTATCAACAAGTACAGGAAGAGAAGCAATGTAGACAATAAATCCTGCCCAGAGAAAGCAAAGAAGATCCATGGCGATGCCCATCATTCCTTGAGGAAAAAGGACAAACAAAACAGAAAAATCAACCGTAAAAGTTTATTCAGGTTCAGCAGGGGCATGTGAGTGCAGTCTGCTGTACAGACACCTGCAACATAGCAGCAGGACCTTGCTATTTGTAACTTTGCTAAAACTGTGAGATTCTGCTTTGAAACAAAAAAAAAGAAAACATGTTCAGCTGCTCAAGTGGGTACCACAGAAGTGCAGAACTGAATCCAGCAACCACTATGGCCGGAGCCTGAACACTGTCTAAAAGTATGCATCACATACTTTTGCTTTCCTTCCAGCAATTTAACAATCTTAACAAACTTGTGACAATGCTAAAATCAGAAGATAAACATTTTTATTATGAATGGAGAACTTGCAAAATCGTTGGTTGAGGAGATCCAATCTTCACCAAGAGTGGACAATTCACTACAAAAGCTGAACTATTTGGGACATAGATCACATACTTGTTGTTCGTTCAACCATTCATTTGTCTTAATGCTGTAATATCTCTTCTGAGGATTGTTCAAACACTTTTTGTAGGGCAGCATTTTTTTTCTTGAGATTGCATCTTCACAGATAACTGTGAAAAGTTCTATTTTTCTCTCATACATAAAACTGAATTGTGATAAGACAAACAGGAGAAGCATGAATATATCACACTGCAAGGATGGTACTGTCTTCAGTTAGCCTTTGAATATGTGAATAAGGCCTTAGTGTGTAATGAGATGAATTGTGTCTTTTTTTTAATTTCATTTTTTTATTTGGCTTTTAGTTTTCTAATTAATTTGTTTTTGCAGTAAAACCACATATATGTGAAAAGGCAGTGTCCAATCAGAACTTTGATCTCTTCCCATTGGGCAGCAAACAGACTCTGTCATGCACTGCCTATGGCATCCCTATTCCTAGAATTCTATGGGGATGGCAACCTTGTGCCCAAAGTAGTTCAAAAGCACAGTAAGTAGATTTGTTTGACTTTTCATTTATTTACATTGTTAAGTACTATTAACAATATGGGTTAAGTGCAGGCTTTGGGTTTACTTACATTTATTTAATAAAAATGTCAACATGTTTAATATATATTTCATTATAGTAATTTCTCATACCTTATAATTGTGGCTAGCTACAAATTGAAATGAATATTTTTATAAATGCATATATACCAAACACAAAATAAAAAGAAATGAAACAGTGTTAACTATAAATAAAATCCTCAGGGCAGTCAGCATTTTAAAAGCTTAGTTATTTTGTTTACCTAAATAGGCTTTTTCATTGCATTAAATTATCAAAAATGGAATTGACTTCGAGTATCATTTTATTCAGAGACTTCCATTGAGCATCCTTTAAAGATTCTGTAATACAAAGTGTATTTAAATCTGTTTAGAGGCTGGTTCTTCTTTTCTCAAAGCTGCTCCCCACCTTTTACCTTTGAACTCATTTTTGCCCACTGGTTGGAAAAGTCTATACAACAGATTAATGGTAAGAATTGCACACAAACGTGTTTGACTGGGATTTCAAATAGACAATGTTTCACACTTGGAAGCTGTTGGCAAACTGCCTATGATAAGCACTTTCTGTTTGCACTTATGGTATTTTCAGGAGGCATGTATTTAAATAGTCAAAGATTAATGTGAATCTCTTTATGTAGAGTTAATCATGGTTTAACATTTATGAAGTTTTTGATTTTTGTGTATCTTTTCATTTTCAATGACACAGTGTTTTATTGTTGATGCAAGAAACATATAGTGCCTTGTTTAGAAATTTGTTACTGTGGCCCAGAGTTATGCAGAGATGGAACAACTCCGAAGCGATTTAAAAACGTGCCTGGGACCCAATTCTAGAATTCCTGCCTTCATTTTCATTGCCCCCGCTTTTCATTGGTGTGGGTCATGAGCCCTCATGCTGCAATCCTGACCTGGCTGACTCCATTGTAAGGGTAGGAAGTCCTCTGCAATTTTAATGGAGTTGTGCAGGCTTCCCTGTGCCTTGTGATTCATGGTCCCTCAGAAGAGCCATGAACCGTAGTCTGGTTTTGAGAACATTTTGGAAGGTAAATTCAGAAGGTCTAACTCATGCCTTTCAGTGCTGTATCCATTTCAACACAATACCCACGCTTGCCCTCCAGACAATAGCATGGCTCCCAATAGCATCCTTTCTAACTCAAAATGAGCTTGTACCCGTTCCATCCTTATTTAAACAGTATCTGCAATATTTATGTAATCAGAGTGATATAATATCAATGGCAAGTGTGGAACTGCTGGGACAAAAAAAAATCATCTGTTTGCAAATCTCTTTCCTTAAAAAGCTAATGTTGTCCATACAACCCTATACAGTGTCAATCAGACAGATCATTAAAGAGCCAATAATAGAGGCTTGGAGGCATGCATTAGAATTGAGTTGTCACGGAGACCATAAGGGCTCAAGGTTGGGCAGAAGTCGGAATGGAAATATAAGAGGCCATGGGTGGGATCATGAGGGGTAGATGGCCTAAAATCTTCTAGTACAATGGAAGTGGTCCCAGAAACCAAGGTGAACCTTCTAACCAGCTCAGCTCGGCACACAACTACCACCTTGGCCGCCGATGCTCTGCAGTCGGCAGGCCCGACTCCATTCGACATCTGGCCCCCCAGGGCAAAATTAGTGTATCAGGGCCCTTTTAAACCGGCCGGTCTGGTGAGCCAGGAAATGTCCTGACTTTAGCTACGCACCCCAGTAGCAAAAACCCCTGCCCTATGTATTTAACCAGTTTAATTATGGACATATGCTTATCTATAAATGCTGAAATTTAATCTACATTATTTCTGCTAATTCTCTGACCTGTCAGTTGACTTAGAATAAAGAAAGAGCAACATACAAAAGTAATGAAGCATCTGTACAAAGTCATTTTTAATGATACTCCCTGAATGAATGATGAAGAAAGCAGAAAGTAACCCTTTGAGGATTATGACAAAATATCTTGAACTAAATCATAGAGACATTTGTTGTTAGAAATTGTTGGTTTATTCAAGAACCGTTGCTAGAAAAGCAGAGCAGAGGTGTTTTTCTGGTTCTGCTTCATAATATTATTAAATCCCAAACAAATCATCTATTGCAGATGTAGTGTGTCTATTTTCAAGACTACAAAGGAATTAAGTCCACTAGTTAATAGAACATTTTGTGGAAGGATTTAAGACACATTTGAAGAAAATGTCAAAAATGAATTTTGCTGGCTTTCTGTTTTTTAATGTGCTTAATCTCCCCTTTGTGTAAAGATTTGGCATAATTATTGTCCAATGATAAAGAGAGCTTTGATGTATATCTGCTGTTTTTGCCACTTTATTAAGCTGTTTATTACTTAATTTAAATAAAGAGTCTTGTAATCCATTTGAATTCAATGTGTTATGCTAATTTCAGTGTTAGCACTCCTAACAATTTGGAATATTTTCCCAATGTGCACCTGATGCTGAGCAGTGCAGCTTCCTATCACTTTTGTGTTGAACAAGGCTTTGTGCTACATCTGACTTTGCACAAACAGAGGTTTACTAGTTCATGTGGTGTAGGGAGGCACAGCAACATTAATTATATTTTCATCTGTATGATCTGGAATTAAGCATAGTGTTCTCACCTGGCTATAAAGTAGTTATTTAAAGCAGCAAGTTATTAATGAAAGTGATCTCGCAGCAATGGATGGCTCACAGATCATCCTATTTGGGCCTTCATGTAGGGAAGGAATAAGTTAAACTTTTTCGAGAACTGAATCAAAAGCAGGGCTTTGCATGGCACAGATCATTTCTCAGAAGATCATGCATGACACATCAAAGTTTTTTTTTTCCGAATATCCACCCACTGTGTGTGTGGGGGGCCGACTGGTGGTATGATTTCTCAGAAAAGTTCTGCCTGTAGCCTCATACAATCATTTTGAGGAGAAAATGAATAATTACTCGGCCTTGAGGTACAATTTAAGACACATTGAGCAGGGGGGGAAGAGTGCTGAGGCTGAAATTGGTTTTTCCATTCGCACTTTGCTAAGCGCAAACTCCACTCAGTTTAACATAACGTTTTAAATAGTTATAGTTTCAGTTAAATATCTAGGCAGTGATTTTTGTTTTTAGATTTTCAGTCAGATCTTCAGCTTATGTGCTGGCTTTGAGAGAGTTTTCTGGCTGCTCCATTTTTAACTCCATTCAGAACGGAAAAGAATTTCTCCAGCTTTCCTTGTTTGAGCCCAAACAAAAGCAACATTTAATTATAATATGATTTTCATGCATTTTTATTGCTCCTGGAACAGGACAGGGTTTTTCCAATTACAGTTACAAAATTTTAAAGTTACTGTATGGAAAGTAAATGTGTATGCATGTATAGGTGCTATAAGGTTCCAACTCAGAAAATATATAATTATCCAACATTTGGTTGGATGCATTTTGGAAATAATCATTGCCTGGCTGCAATATATGGATGTTACCTTCTGATAATCAATACTTGAACTCTTTTGGGATAGAACAATATAAGACCTAATATATATATGACACATATCAGACCTCACTCTTAAGAGCCATTTGGAGTTCCAATTCATCTGAATAGAAATTGAACTAGCAGGCATTTACTTTATATTTCTAACCAACTCAAAAAGTTGTTCATAGCAGCAATTGCAAATCTTTTTTCTTCATTCACATGATGTGGCTTTACTAAAAAGGCCAGCATTACTGCTCATCTGAATTTACTGTTAAGATATTGTTAAGCTGCAGTCTATTGCCTCCCAGATGGGGTGGTGGAGAGGAGGGAAGATGAACAAGCCAGAGATCATGGTCCACATTGGCATCAATGACATACATAGAAAGGGGGTGAGCTCCTGAAAGCGGATTTTAGGGAGTTAAGAAAAAAAGTTTAAAAACCTGGACCTTTAGAGTAGTAATATATGCCCGGTGCCACATACTAGTAAGCATAGGAACAGGAATAGGAATAGGAGGATTGAGTGATCGAACATTAGGGTGGCAGAGTGGCTCAGTGGTTAGCACTGCTGCCTCACTGCACCAGGAACTTGGGTTCAATTGCAGCCTTGGGCGACTGTCTGTGTGGAGTTTGCATGTTCTCCCTATGTTAGTGGGTTTCTGCCAGGTGCTCCAGTTTCCTCCCACAGTCCGAAGATGTGCAGGTAAGGTGGATTGGTCATGCTAAATTGCACTGTAGTGTCCAGAGATATATAGGTTAGGTGGATTAGCCATGGTAAATGTGGGGTTATGGGGATGGGGGTGAGGGGCTGGGTCTAGGTTGGATGGTCTTCAAAGGTCGGTGCAGACTCGATGGGCTGAATGATCTCCTTCTAGGTTGTAGGTATTCTATGCGGCAGGACAATTAAAGCAGGAAAGAGGCTATCAGATTTCTGAGGCTTTCAGGCCAGCTCTGAGGCATTCTAACCTGGGGGACTCATACAAGCAAGATGAGATGGATCTTAACAGGACCAGGAGTAATGCCTTTGCAGCGAGATTTGCTATTGCTGTTCGGGTAAGTTTAAACTAGACTGGGATTGGGAACCTGAGAGGGAGTTCAATTTGGAACAAAGCAAAACCAGCTGTAGAAAAGTAGTAAGTGAAATAGGAAGACAGATAAAATGAAGTTCAGCATCAAATAGGTGTAGAATGTAGAATAAAGTTTAAAAAGTCAAAGCTAAGAGAACTTCATTGGAATACATGCAACATCCACAATGAAGTAAATGATCTGAGGGTGCAAATGGAAGTAAATATGTATGATTTAAGTGCCATTTTGGAGATGTCTTTACAAGGTGACTCAAAGTGGGAACTGGATATTCCAGGATGTTTGTCATTTAGGAACAATCTGCAGAGGGGTAAAAATGGTGGGGTGGTATTGTTAATAAAGGAGGAGGTTGGTACGTAGTGAGCGAATTTTAGATTGGACATCTTGATCCATCAATCAGTTTCTGTGGTGGTAAGAAACAATATGGAGTAATATAAATTTACATG